TGCTTGACTTTTCAAAAACAAGTTTTCTGGAAAATGTTTTGTCTTTACACTTTCTACTTTATTGCCGATCAAGATGTTAAGAAAACAACTTGGGAAAATTCAACGAGTGTTGAAATAGGATTCCTTGGAAGGAAAATTTCATGTTTTGCCCTTCATGATGTAACAGCACTTATGTAGAAACCCATCCATAGTATGTTAAGATCAGTCATATCCAAGTTTAACCAGGATATCCAAGTTCAAAAGCAAAACGAATGCAAATATACTTAAAGGAATATATGAATGATAAAAATGTGAAGCGAGGCATAATTAAGAGTCAGTCAGACCTAAAAACACCAGCACCATAGTATCAAGTAGTACACATATTCAGGTTACCTCTTAGCATTTATAGGGTTATTGTGAGGATTAAATGAGATGTCATATAAAGGATTTAAGGAATGTAAAGCTAAATATATTTTAGCTAATATTATCCTAGTATGAAGCAGAACCAACTAAACAATAAGCGTTGCTTTGATGAGTTTTAAATCCTGGCACTAATATCCATGTAGGCAGGTACTTATTTATTCTTCTTAGCTCAAAGCTGTCCTGTGGTTTACCTTCTCCTGAAAGTCCCAAATACCCTTTCATGAGGTCTACAAAGTAAACATGATTTTCATAATCATTGCAATGATAGTAATTCTAATTTGTTTTTTGGTTAATTCTCACCGGAGGATATACTTCCGATGATCTTTTCAGACAGAATGGGAGGGAGGGGGAGAGAAAGAGAGAGAGAGAGAGAGAGAGAGAGAGAGAGAGAGAGAGAAACATCGATGAGAGAGACACATTGATTAGTTGCCTCCTACATGACCCCAATGGAGCTGGGGATTGAACCAGCAACCCAGGCACACACCCCTGACCAGGAGTTGAACCCATGACCCTTCAGTCCACAGGCTGACACTCTAACTACTGAGCCAAATTGGCCAGGACAGTCGTAATTCTAATTTTATTAATAATAGTAATAATTCATTTTACAATAACACTAATGGCCTAACACTACTTTGATTTTTCACTGTGTTGACATTTGCACTGATGGTGCCAAAGCAATGGTGAGTAACACTACTGAAACCTTAGCACAAATCAAGATAGCGGGACCAATGTGTATTGGTGGACATGTTATTCTTCACTACCATGTGCTTATGAGAGGAAAAAATAAATAAAGCTAGTTTCACTTGACAATGTGCCTAGCCCTGGCCAGTTTGGCTCACTGGTTAGAGCATTGGCCCGTGGACCGAAGAGTCATGGGTTCAATTCTGGACAAGGGCACATACGTCAGTTGTGATTTGTTCCTGGCCCTGGTCGGGTTGTGTGGGAGGCAACCAGTCCATGTGTCTCTCTCATGTGATGTTTCTCTCTCTCTCCCCTCCCTCCCACTCTATCTGATGATAGAAAAAATATCCTCAGGTGAGGATTAAAAAAAAAAAAGGAATGTGCCCGATCCCTGGCCAGGTGGCTCAGTTGATTAGAGCATCACCCCCTACACCAAAAGGTTGCAGGTTCAATTCCCTAGGGCACATAAGGGAGGCAACCAATTGATGTTCTTCTCTCACATCAATGTTTCTCTCTCTCTCTTCCTTCCTTTCTCTCTAAAAAAATCGAATGAAAAAAAAGAATGTGCCTGATGATAACAGTATTTTTACTAAATCCTGACCTTTCAGTACACATCTTTTTAATATTCCATGTGATGGAATGAGAAGCACCCACAATGCACTTCTGCTGCACAGCTAAGTACAATGGACATCTTGAGAGAAAGCGTTTATACCACCACTTGAGTTATGAGCTGAATTAGCCATGGTTTCCATGGAACACTATTTTTACTGAAGAATGACTAACAAACTATGGTATTCAGATTTGAGTATTTGGCAGACATTTTTCTCAAAAATTAATGAAGCAAGTCTGTCACTTTATGGAAAACAATGACGATATTGTTACCAATGATAAAATTGGAACTTTTAAGTGGAAATAAACATTTTGGAAAACTCATATTCACCTCAGTGAGTTTGATAGTTTGCCAATAATTAAAGGCTTTTCTGATGAGATCAGTGGTGACATTAATGAATGTGATTTTTTAAATACAGTGTAATGACATGTGACAATATTTGATAGATCTGACCAATACATGCTGTTACAGAATTAATCATGGGTAAAAAATCCATTCAAGGTGGAAGACAGATCAATGGATTTCCTTGATATGGTTTTAGATTCCACACTACAATTAATCTTTAAGAAACTATTACTTGTCGAGTTTTGGTGTAATATCAAAGAAAAATACAGTACCCATAATGACTTCAAAAAGGTTAAAATATTTTAAAATATTTTTTCTTTCCTAACCACATCTTTGTGAGACCAGATTTTTTGTTGTTGTTGATCCTCACCCAAGGGCATTTTTCCATTGATTTTTTAAGATACAGTGGAAGGGAGGGAGGAGGAGAGAAAGAGAGAGAGACATATGGATTGGCCCACACCACCCCAACCAGGGCCAGGGATGGAAACTGCAACCCAGGTATATGCCCTTGACCAGGAATCAAACCCTTTGGTCCAAGAGAGCCTTTTTGGCCCAAGGGCCGATGCTCTAACCACTGAGCAAAAACAGCCAGGGCATGAGACTAGATTTTCTTTATATATTTCAATCAAAACATTACTACATTGAATGGAGAAGCAGATATCAAAATCCAGTTTTCTATTAAACCAAACATTGAAGAGATTTGCAAAAAGGAAAAATAATGCCACTCCTCTCAATCATTTTTTAAAAATCTGGGAATACATAGTGATGTTTAACTAAAACACATGATGTTAATATATAATAGGTTTATTATAAGTATTTTAAATAAAGTAATAAATATTTTGTCAGCTATTTTTTAATATGGCAAATATCAATATCTAACCTTATCCAAACTAAAGGTTTTTGAGATATTCAATAACTAAAGAGTATAAAGAGGTTCTAAGTCCAAAAAGTATAAGAACCACTATTCTAAATAGTTCTCCAAACTTGGGATGGTCTCCTTTGACCATTCACAGGAAGACAGTGCTTAGGGCAAACTTATACAGTAGAAAATGATCACTTCCTAGTCAGGTTAGGCAGTGGAATATTGTGAGGAAGGATCTCTTTGGCAGCTAGCTAGCACTGTGATAGTTCATTCTCCCAGTAACAGGTAAGTCTAATGGTACAATAGGACCACTGAATTCAAGAAAGGCAGGTCAAAGACCTTTTTGGAATGATGGGCTGCAAATCTGGGTCAAGGAAAAACAAATAACTGAAACCCCTTTTGATCATAAACAGATTAGGGAGAAACCTGCCCTTTCCCGGGCAAAAAAGACAAAAGGGAATTGCTATTGGATCTCACCATGGGCCCACGATTCTGCTCAAGAGGGCATAATAAAGGTGTTAAACCCTGTTGCTGGAATGGTGTGTGGTCAACTTCCAAAATTTAGCTCTCAGACTGATGTCGGAACCCCTCCATTGTCTGTCTCCTTTCCAATCAACAGGTGAACCAAGGCAGCCCTAAAGGCTCAAGTCCTTTCAGATTCTCACCTTCAGTTTGAGGGTAGAAAGTGGTGTATATATCTGAATATTGGTAGGCTCTGAATTTAATAAGGAATAAAAGCCACGAGAAACCGTTTGACCCCATTTCAGCCTCTTGTCCTGAAATTTCCATCTCACTGTGATGAAAAGAATCAATGTGTGATCTAACTAAAAAAAAAAAAGGGTTCTTGTCTAAGAGGAAAGGGAAAGAATAGGGGCCAATTCTAGCTTCAGAAAGGATGGTTTCTGAAAATAGGAGACTGAGCATCACCAATGAGGTCAGAGCAAGAACTGACTGGAATCACCCAAGTAGGCTCTTTAATTCTTCTTCTGATCACGGCAGGAAGCTTCCCGAATACCACCTTCTGTTTAGACATAGGCCCTCTTGGTCACAAATGACCACTTATCTTCCTCAAGACTTCTCCTATGTGAAGAAAGAAAAGAGTAATAATTTACCTGAACCCTGGAGTCAGCCTGTCTGGATCTTACCCTGTTGTAATGATCTGGGCGGATGACTCCATCCGTCCAGGCCTCAGAGTCCTCCTCTGTAAAATGGAAAGAGTGATAATGCTCCCGTCATCGGGTTCTTCTGAGGATCAGCCAAGATAATTAATGCGTGTAAACCACTTAACACCAGACTTGTCACCTACTAAGTGCTTAATAAACAGAAGTTATTATTAGGGATATTTATTTGCTCCATATTCTGCTCTGTGAACAGTGTTTTTCATTAGTTCTCAGTATAACTCCTTTTTTTCAGGGCTATTATTTCTGAGGTTCTGGTCCCTTATATCCCTGAGTCATCATCATTAAGATGCCGGGTTTCTGAAATCATCCCTTCTACTGCTCTCTAGGGCTCCCTCTCCCGACTGCTTAGCTCTCGTGGGGGCCCAGACCTAAATTCTGTGACTACGAGTCTCTCTGGGCTGGGCCACCTGTCTTAGAGGAATGTCCCTAGTCCCCTTGGAGACCACCAAGGAGGCGGCGACAACACTGAGCCTCCTCGGACTGTGAGATAAGCCGCAGCCCAGAAGTGGGAGCGAGGCGGGGGCGAGTCTCTGCTGCGCGTGGGGAGAGGGCGGGGCTCCGAGGTAGGAGCGAGGCCACACCCCGAAGGTGCGAGCTGGGGGCGGGGCCACACCCCGAGGAGGACCCGAGGCCCGGGGCGTGGTGGCTCCCCGGAGCCGATAGGAGCCTTAGGGATGCGCCAGCCGCCTCCACTGGTGGCGCGCGCCGTCACCTCGGTGCGTGAGGCAGCGCAGGGGTTAAGGCCGCCGGCGCCACCTGGGCGCCGCTGAGCAGACCCGAGAGCCAGCGAATCCCGCGCGGGCGCGGCGAACAGGTGCCCGCGCGCGTCAGGCGCCGGCAGGGGGCGGGGAGAGGGGCGCGGCCGGAAGCCCGGTGGTGCGGCCGCCGGTGAGCTCGAGCGGCCCAGGAAGGCAGGAAGGAGCTCGCCGGGCTGCGCGGCGCACGATGTGGAGCCGCCGCTTGGGCGCCCGCAGCAGCCGCCGCCGCCGCCGCTGCTGGGGCTGCCGCCGAGCCGAGGGACATGGAGCGCGGCTGCAGAGAGTGGCCGCGGGCAGCAGCAGCAGCGAGCATCGAAGCGACAGCGGAGCGCAGCCCGCCCGGTGAAGCGCTGCCCGGCCGGTGGCGGCAGCGGCGGCAGCAGCAACAGCAACAGCAACAGCAACAGGGCGGCTGAAAAGCCGGCGGCGCCTTTCCTCCCTGCAGCCTCCCCTCTCGCCTCGCGGCCCGTCCGTCCGTCTTCCTCTCCTCGGCCTTCCCTTGGCCACCCCCTCCTCCTCCGCGGCGCGCGCCGAGCAGCTGAGCCCGGGGGCGGAGGGAGGGGGCGCGTGCCGCCGGCTTGGGGGAGGGGCAGGCCGGCGCGCGCCGCGCCCAGGACTCGCGGGGACCCGGGGGGCGCGTGCCGCGGCGCGAGGCGAGGCGCGGGGCGGTGCGGCGGGGCCCCTCCCCCCTGCAGCCTGGCGCGCGCCGGCCGGGCCGCACCGCTGCGGGCTCCGCGCGCGCGGGCCATGTCCGCCTTCTGCCTGGGCTTGGCCGGCCGCGCTTCAGCACCCGCCGAGCCGGACAGCGCCTGCTGCATGGAGCTACCCGCCGGGGCCACGGACGCAGTCGGGAGTCCAGCCGCCGCCGCCCTGGTCTCCTTCCCCGGGGGCCCTGGGGAGCTAGAACTGGCGTTAGAGGAGGAGCTGGCGCTGCTGGCAGCCGGGGAACGGCCGTCCGACCCCGGAGAGCATCCTCCGGCCGAGCCCGGGCCTCCGGCCGAGGCGGCCGGACTGCTGCCACTGCCCGCCCAGGACCCCGAGCTGCTGTCGGTGATCCGTCAGAAGGAGAAGGATCTAGTGTTGGCGGCCCGGCTGGGCAAGGCACTGCTCGAGAAGAATCAGGACATGAGCCGGCAGTACGAACAAATGCACAAGGAGCTGACAGACAAACTGGAGGTGAGTTAGTCCCCTCTAGGGTAGGTGGGAAGTAAGGGGAGCCCAGGCACCAGCCAGGCCCTGGGCAGCTTCGGGAGCCACTCACCCACTCCACCCCTTCCTTGCTCACCCTACCTCCCTGGAAACCCCCTGGAAGGGTGGGGTGGGGGTAGGATGGAGGGTTTCAGATCATCAGACCTGGGCATCTATTGAATACACCTGCTTTTCCCACCCTGTTCACAACAAATGAGTTCATGCACAGCTCCAGTCGCTGTGGACCATTCTATCTATGTACTGTACACAGCATCTAAAATAGAGCTTACAGTATGACTAATTTATACAGCACTGAGGTGATGTCTGCACACAGGGACATGAGAAAGGGGAAGCATTTAAAATATGCTTCAGGTTTTCAGAGAAAGAGTTAATCTCTAATCAGGGTGTTAGCCTAAAGCTTTCCAGTTTGGGCATTAAGGCCTCCAGATGCCCTTGTCTTAACTTCCTGGCAGCTCAGAGTTGTGGGAAACAAGTGCCCCTAAAGGAGCTTTATATAGCCTTCAAATACTCGGGGATTAGGAAGTGTGGTTCCATTGCAGTCAGGCAAGCCTAGGCTCAGCATGTGACCCTTGGTAGTGGATTTAATTTGGACCTAAGTATTTACGTGCATTTAAACAGTACTTTTCTGTGTTCCGGGTCTTACACATGCAATTGCATGGCCAAATAGGAGAACCATATTGCTTCAACTATTGTTAATAAATACCCCTTAACGTAACGGTAAGATTTCTGCCATTTCTTGCTCTTTAACTAGAAAAGGGTTTTGAAAGTGGTATGGAACACCAGTATTTCTAAACATCAGAGAGATTTAAAAAGGGGAGGCATCTGTGGCAGTGGAAACAAGCTTATCTTTTTTCTACCTGTGCATTTACTATTGTTACCTGCTTTGGTTGCAACCAGATTTTTTTTTTTTTAAGTTACAAGAGAATAGTACAGTCCTGAATGAGGTCTGAAACTGACCCTAGTCTGGTTCCGTATCTTTGCTACTGGTTGAACAGTCAGAATGTAGATTCAGAAACTTTTCTGAATAATAAGATTTAAGTGTGTCTGTAGTCCAATAATATATCAAAAGTAAATCAGGGAGAAAAAAAGGAAACCAATGAGTGTCCTGTAGTTCAGTTGGCCTGTTAACTAGGTCTGCCAGTCGATGAACTCCTGAGATACCTCTCTGAAAAGTGGTTTGTGAAACCTATAGGTAGACTGCCAAAAAGCAACCCAATGAATTGAATTGTTTAATTTTCACTTGAAGTAGAGGTCTACAAATAAAAGAGTGTCTTTTTTTAAAACAGATTTGATTACACGGCTCTATATAGAAGTACTACTGCAGAGATTTATACTTGATTTGAAATTCCTTCAGTAAGGGACTTGATTGAAGAGACAGCAGACTTGAAAGGAACATCATATCAGTCAGTCTGATGAGTGGTAGATTTCAGAGTAATCCTGAGTGTGCAGTTACACACACACACACACATCCTGGATTCTAATGTGGAGCCTTTATACATTTCTTCAACAAAAGAGAAAGATTCAAAAATTTAGTAACAAGAAAGGTTCTGTTGTAAGAGAATAAATTACCTTTGACTTTATAAAATAGTTTAAGCTCTTGAACTGTTTTTTTTAAATCATCACTCCACTGCAGGTCAGCCTATGAACTCTAGTTACATTTCTGGAGGTTGGCTGTACAACAGTGTGAATGTACTTAATGCTACTGAACTGTACACTTAAAAATTAAGATGGTAAATTTTATGTTACGTGTACTGTAGTCCCCTCTTATCTGAGGACGATATTTCCAGACCCTTAGTTGATGCCTGAAACCACAGATAGTATTGAACCTCATATATTCTATGTTTTTTCCTATACATACATACCTACCTATGATAAAGTTTAATTTGTGAATTAGGCACAGTAAGAGATTAACAATAACTAATAATAAAATTGAACAATTAACTTGAGCACTTTCATCTTTTCACTTATAGAAAATACTTTATAGCTTCTCCAAATTGCCAGCATCACTACTCTTGTGCTTTGGGGTCATTATGAAGTCACAATAAGGGTCACTTGAACATGAGCACTGCAGTACCAAGACAATCGATCTGATAACCCAGAGGGCTACTGAGTGACTAACTGGCAGGGTGTGTACACAGCATGGGTACGCTGGACAAAGGGATGATTCACTTCCTGGGCAGGATGGAGTGGGAGGGTTCGAGATTCATCACGTTGCTCAGATAGGCGCAAAATTTAAAACTTGTGAATTGTTTATTTCTGGAATTATCCATTTGATATTTTTGGACCAAGGTTGACCCTGGGTAATTGAAACTGTGGAAATCAGAACTGCAGATAAGGTGGGGGATGCTGTACTTTACCACAATTTAAAAAATAACATTTTTTAAAAACCCAATATTGAGCCCTGGCTGGTTTGGCTCAGCGGTTAGAGCGTCGGCCTGCGGTACAGAGAGGCCCGGGTTCGGTTCCCGCTAAGGGCACGTACCTCGGTTGCAGTTTGTCCCCGGCCCTGGTCGGTCGTGCGGGTGGCAGCCACTTGATGTGTCCCTTTCATGTTGATGTCTGTCTCTCTCTCTTTCTCTCTCTCTCTCTCTCTCTCCCTCCCTCCCTTTTTCTCCCTCCCATTGTAACTGAACAAAAAATGGAGAAATGTCCTCGGGTGAGGATAAAAAAAATAGAAATAAAAAATAAAAAAAAATAAAAAGGAAACCAAGGACCAGAGAGAGAGAGAGAGAGAGAGAGACTGTAGACCCCAAGAAGGCAGGCACTAGATCAGTCTTTTTTTTTTTTTAATCCTCGCTCAAGGATACATTTCATTGATTTGAGAGAGAGAAACATTGGTGTGAGAGAAACATCCATTGGTTGCCTCTGTATGTGCCCAACTGGGGCTTGAACCTGAAACCCAGGCATGTGCCTTGATGGGAAATTGAACCTTCAACCTCTTTGGTGTACAGGACAATGCTCCAACCAACTGAGCCACACTGGCCAGGATTTTAGTACTGTTTTTTTAAGAGGGCAAAAAAAGTGAGATGAAAATTATTACATAATGGGACTCAGTAGTAGATTTAGGGAAGCAAACCTAGGGAAGGGATCCTTATTTGCATTCAGTGCTTGGTCCACTTAAAAAAAAAAATATATTTTTGCCCATTTGGTGTGGCTCAGTGGATTGAGCATCGTCCCATGGACTGAGAGGTCCTGATTCAATTTCTGGTCAGGGCACATGCCCAGATTGGGGGCTCAATCCCCAGGAGAGGGCATGCAGGAGGCAGCCGATCAATGTTTCTCTCTCACATCAATGTTTCCATCTCTCCTTTCCTCTCTCGCTAACAAAAATCAATAAAAACATATTAAAAAATAAATAAAATAAAAGAGTATTTTTTCTTTGTATTTTTAAGAATCATAGCCTGTACTTGCAAGAATGATGTTGCTTTTTCAGTTCGTTGCAGAAATCCATTTCTGTGACAACCAATTTTAGGTAAGCTAATGATATTAGCTTTGGTTTTTTCAGAGTTTTAAATAAACTTTATTTTTATAGAGTAGTTTTAGGTTTTCAGAAAAATTGGAAAGATGGTGCAAAGAGTTTCCATATGCCCTGTACCGAGTTTCCTCTATTACTGACATCTTACATTAGTATATATGATATGGTACACTTGCCTTAATTAGGAAGCTAGTACTGATATGTTGTTATTAACTGAAGTCCTTAGTTTATTCAAGTTTCCTTAGCCTTTACCTAATGTCTGTTTCTGTTCCAGGATTTCATCCAGGGTACCACATTGCATTTAGTTTTCGTATCTTAGTCTCTTCTTTGCTGTGACAGTTTCTTAGACTTTCCTTTATATATATATTATATACATATATTTATTATTAATTGATTTGTTTAGAGAAAGAGGAAAGGTGTTGGGGGACAGGGGAGAAAGAGAAACATGGATTTGTTGTTCCACTTACTCATGCATTCATTGGTTGATTCTAGCATGTGCCCTGACGGGGAATCGAACCCACAACATTGGTGTATCAGGGCAGCATTTACCAACTGAACTACCCAGCCTGGGTGACTTTCCTTGTTTTTGATGACCTTGACAGTTTTGTTTTGTTTTTAATTTTTTTTTTCCTCTATTGATTTTTAGAGAGAAGAAGGGAGAGAGAGAGAGTTAGAAACAATGATGAGAGAGAACATCGATCGGCCGCCTCCTGCATGCCTCCCACTGGGGACTGGGCCCACAACCTGGGCAGATGCCCTGACTGGGAATCAAACTGGCAACCTCTTGGTACATGGGTTGACACTCAACCACTGAGCCACACCAGCCGGGCGACAGTTTTGATAATAATTTTTTTCCTCTTTTTCTCTTTATAGAGGTATAATTGACACATTATATTAGTTTCAGGTATAGATACTAACTTTTAAGATACCACATAGCCCCAAGAAAAAAGGAATAACACTTGCTGATAGTTCTGCCTAGAGTTTACTGGTTAATTTCGCACTTAAATGAAAATATAATTTTAAAAGAAACCTTTCTTTTTTCAGAGTAGATATAAGGCTAAATTCTGTGTATTTATTAATAGAAAGGTCTTGAGCCCCCCCCCCCCAAGTGTTGGGAATCCTGAATTAGGATGTTTGTCACATGTCCAAAGAAATATGCGGACAGAACAGATTGATCAGCACCACCTGCCCTCTCCCCTCCCCACTAGTGCATCGGATTGTTTGAGTGGCTCAGTTGGGCTATTCACTAACAGCTGTTTGCTGAATATTTTTAAGTCTCTCTGTTCTTTTAGAACACAAGCCTAATTTATCCGGCCTCTCAGTAACACTGTGCTTACTGAGTTCTTGCTGTTGCCTTCTGTTCAATATTTTTTATTTTGGAAAAACTCAATAAAACCAAGAATCACAATTTCACAATTTTAGGATTGCAGTCAGCATTTGTTTCTGCATTCCATCTTTCTGAAGTGTCTGCGGCGACTAAAACGTTCTCCTTTTGGAAGTTCAGCAACATGAGGGAAGCATAGATGGAGCAGAAAACTCTCCTGCTGCTGAGTAGAAGTCCCTCCCATGACGTTCCTTTCTCCACATGCTCCGAACTGGGGCTGTATCAAGTATAACTGCAATGTGACTTTTTCAACAAATATACTAGCGTGGCTGTATCCAAATGAGTTGTCCCCTTGAAGTGATCAACTTGGGAGGCTGTACTCATATTTCAGTATTTATGAACAAAGCACCTTTGCTAGTGTGCTCAGAATTTTAATTTTGAATCACTATTTTTATCTTTTGGCACATTATTTGGACTTTTCTGAAATGGTAAACTTTGGACTTTGAGAAACATTCACAAATCACCCAGAGCACACTAAGGGGAATAAGATGTCAGGATGAAATGAGATCATCTCTGATGTGGTAAAAGGGGACTGCTTTTCTTGCATAACTATACACTGGTCCTTAAGGCTTTCCAAAAGAAGCATTCCAAAAAGTATTTGAAAAGAGATCTTGAATGGAATAAGAGCCTAGCTTCCCAAGGTGAAGAGATGACTGAGTATTCTGGAGGAGAAGATTCATACCCTCCTGTTAGCCTGTTGAAGTAATGTCATGCTTGATGTCAACCTTCAGTACATAAGCATTTCCTATAGAACTTGGATGGATGGATGGATGGATGGATGGATGGATGGATGGATGGATGGATGGATGCCTAGGCCTTATCCCGTTCTTAACTGGATCACAATCTTTGGAATAGGGGTTCAGGTGGGTATATTTTGGACAGTTGTACCAGAGCTTTTCTGAGAGTACCAGAAGTTGAGGGCCATTGCTTTAGGTATAGATTTGGCTCTTTTATACATACTGTGCTTTGAAGTAGGGAACATACTTACCTCTGAAAAGAGGCATTTGTATTTATCTCTCAGAAACAAAAAGATGTTCTTTCCTTCAACCCCAAAGGATCTTTTTCTGTCGAGCTGCTACTTCAGACCGTTAATACTTCTCCTGCATACCATGTGTCACATACAATTTATTACTTGGGTCAGCCTCTTCCACTAGAATAAGAACTCCATACCACCCAGCCAGTGTGGCTCAGTGGTTGAGCGTCGACCCACGCACCAAGAGTTGGCCAGTTGGATTCCCGGTCAGGGCACATGCCCAGGTTGTGGGCCCGATCCCCAGCGGGGGAGATCCAGGAGGTGGCCAGTCAATGTCCTCTCTCATCGATGTTTCCATTTCTCTCTTCCTTCCTCTCTCTCTCAAATCAATAAAGAAAAAAAATTAAAAAACAAAAACAAAAAACTCCATACAGGCAAGGACCTTGTCTGTTTTGTTCATCACCATGTTCCCAGCATGGTGGCTGGCTCATAGTAGGCACCTGGAATGAATGAATGAATCAGGAGTAAATATGCAAGGCTAATAGGCCATGATTTAAAGTAGGACTGAACCTGAACTTGCCTTAATGATTTTGAAATACGGTGCTAGATATAGCAACAAATATTTATTGAGTTGTGATTTAGAGCACTAAATGGAGTACGTGACTGAGACACAAATCCCAGCTCTGTCATTTACTAGTATTGACCTTGAGCGTATTACTTAACCTCTTCTGTTGCTTCATTTGTAAGAAAAGATCATCTGAAGGATCTCTGGAGTTCTTTCCATCTCTGAAAAGTCTGTGATTCTAAGTGCCTTGTATTATGCCAGTCGTAAAAGATGATTTAAACAGAGGCCTTCTTTTTTTTTTTTTCCCCCTCATCCAAGGATATTTTTCCATTTATTTTCAGATAGAATGGGAGGGAGGGAGGGAGGGAGGGAGTGTGTATGTGGGGAGAGAGAGAGAGAGAGAGGGAGACATTGATAGGCTGACACAACCCTGACCAGGGCTGGGGATCGAACTGCAACCTAGGTATGTGCTCTTGACTGAATCGAACCCTCGACTCTTTGGTCCATGGGCTGACGCTCTAACCACTGAGCAAAACCTGCCAGGGCTCAATAGAAGCCTTTTTTTTATCCTCACCCGAGAACATTTTTCCATTTTTTGTTCAGACAGAGTGGGAAGAAGAGAGAGAGAGAAACATTGACGTGAAAGGGACACATCAAGTGGTTGCCACCCACACGACCCAACCAGGGCTGGGGACAAACTGCAACTGAGGTACATGCTCAGTTGGTGGGAAATGAACCCAGGTCTCTCTGGACCGCAGGCTGACGCTCCAACCGCTGAGCCAAACCGGCCAGGGCTCAACAGAAGCCTTTTTTAGGGAGTCATTTTAAGTTGTTTAAATGTATAGTTCACCAATTAATTAAATGACTTGTTAAATTTGAAGTGAATGCCTAAGTTTAGAACCCTGTGCCCAAGGACAAGGATAAACATGATAAGTATTTCCAATAGCAATGGTATTCTCTTGATGAAACCAACTCCTTTTCTACTCTGGAAGACAGGGATATTTTCGTGGCTGTGAAATGGGCGACTTTTCCCAAGTGGCAGTGTTCTGTTGTACTGACTAATTGGGAAAAAGAAAAGTTAAGAGAGGCCCTGGCCGAGTAGCTCAGTTGGTTAGAGCATCGTCCAGATACAGGGTTGTGGGTTCAGTTACTGGTCAGGGCACATACACGACTCAACCAATGAATACATGAATAAGGGGAACAACAAATCGATGTTTCTCTTTCTCTCTCAAATCAATAAACAACAACAAAAAATTAGGAGTCTGCAAAGAGAAAAAAATGGAAGGCTGTGGAATTTTTTTAAAAATATGCTTTTATTGATTTTTTAGAGAGAGAGAAAGGGAAAGAGAGATAGCAACATCAGTGTGAGAGGTACATCCATCAGCTGCCTCCTGCACAAACCCCTACTGGGGATCGAGCCGGAACCCCGGGCATGTGCCCTGATGGGGAATTGAACCGGGACCTCTCAGTCTGTGGGATGATGCTCAGTCCACTGAGCCACACTGGCTGGGCAAGGCTGTGGAATTTTTAAGTTTTTAAATCCTCTTCACTTTTTACCCAGCACTTAGAACAAGAGAAACACGAACTAAGAAGACGATTTGAGAACCGAGAAGGAGAGTGGGAAGGGCGTGTGTCTGAGCTGGAGAGTGATGTGAAACAGCTTCAGGACGAGTTGGAGAGGCAGCAGGTTCATCTACGGGAGGCAGATCGAGAAAAAACTCGGGCTGTCCAGGAGTTATCGGAACAGAACCAAAGGTTATTGGATCAACTCAGCAGGGTGAGTCACAAGTTAAGAAATGATGGTATAAAATACTAAACATTGAAACAGAGCTTCTGTATAATGTCAATTATGTACATAGTAAAAGTAAGTCTCATTTTTGTTGCTTTTGGTGTTATAGCAACAAGTTAAATATCTCTCACCTACAAGGATTTTAGCTGTGCTGAACTGTGGGACCCTTGCCTGTCATTAGCCAGCTATGAGGCTTTAACAGTCACTTAACTTAGGAGTTTTCTTTTTAAAATGAGAGTTGTGCTTAATGATTTCTGACATCCCTTATAGCTCTAAAAGTCTGTGATTCCTTTGCCTTCAGAAAGCCTGTCACAGGTAAAATTATGTTAATGCATTTAGTTCAAATATTAAATGGTGCCTGCCATCTTTAAACTGAAAAGCTTAGCGAAACTGTCTAGAGCAAATGATTCTTATTGATGTTACATTTGTGAATGTACATTCCTTCGTATTATTTAAACACAAAAGGAGATATGTGCATCTGTATTTAAAATTTGTTCTCTTTCTTCCCACATTATGTAAAAAGTCTTTACTTGTACCTTTATAGGGTGGTGTCATGAAAGAATTAATTAACCAAGGTCAGGACTATAAAATCATTGCAAAGAAAGAATTTGAGGGCTGAATAGGTGGAAATCTAATTTAAATACTGAACATACCTTTCTAACAAATGCAGGAATGTTGTTAATGCTCCAGTCTCTAAACCCACCCACTTTTGAATCAAGAGCTAGATTTACTAGTGTACCTTAATCCATCTTGTGTGTTGAAAATAAAATTAACTCCTTAGCCAAAGGAAAAAAGAACTACTCTAATCTCATCTCTAAGCACTAATATTCTCATGAGTGCACTGCCCTGGTCTGCATGGTTAGCATTTGGTGCTTAGGTCTTTGGGAAAGGCTTAGCTAGAGCGGCATATGGTAACTTCTTGGTGTTTCCACTGATTTGATAGTTAACACTGTATGAAGTTATTTCACCAGTCACAGTTGCTTCTAGTGGGTATTCTGAGACTAGTTAAAGCCTTCATGCCTCACAGGGATGTGTGAAGTTAATAGAGAAAGGGAGAGGAAGGAGAGGTAGAGGTGAGAATGGAAGCGTCGGGGAGGGGAGAAAAGAAGGAAGGAAGGGAAGGAGAGAAAGAGAGAGATGCATTCCTATCAGAATGTATCTGCTATGAAATATCAGAATGTATCTGAAAGATGGCCCTGGCCAGGTGGCTCAGTTGGTTGGAGTGTCCTCTCAGTGTGCCCGGGTTGTGGGTTTGATCCCCCATCAGGGTACTTACAAGAATCAACCAGTGAATGGGTAGGTGGGTGGAGCAGTAAATCAGTGTTTCTCTTTCTCTCTCTCTCAAATAAATAAATAATTAAAAAAAATAAAATATATGTGAAAGGTGAGAATTCAAGTGATAGATCTAAAGATCTTACCTGCAGGTTTCCTAGCTCAGGAATCAAACCACCATTTGATTGGCTGGAAGGGAAGAGTGGGCTGTTCTTCAGGAAGTCATTCACAGGGCCAGCTCGGAAACAGCATTTCTGGCTCAGTTCAAAAACCGTTTTTAACAACGGGGAAGGGAATTTCTAACCTTATAAGACTATAGTTTTTTAAGTCTTCATTCATTATTCGTTCAAGATTAAACTAACCCGATAGGCCTTGCCACGTTGACTTATTTGTTCGAAAACATTCATTTCATACTTACAAGTGTTTTTTTTTATGGAGATTTAGGAAAGGAATACAACAAACCAGAATAACTAAAGGGGAAATTATTTCTTGAGGGCTAATTCATGTTATGAAAGAACTCTGCTTTCTGATCTGGGGAAAGGTAGATGGCCAAGAGAGATGAAGGGAGAAAGCCAACATTAGCGTGACATAGCAAAAGAGCCCAGAGCTGTGACTTTAGATGTTTCTCATTAGCTGGCGACCTTGTTTGTACCTCACTTTCCTTGTCCTTAAAATGGGGGTAAAAATGTGTACCGCACGCAGGTACTGGTGACATGAAAATAAGATCACGTGTTTCTGTGAAGCAGCATGTGAGGTCAGGATTTGTTTCGGCGTGGATGGTTCTTTGACCGAAGCGGTGTCTTTATCGTTCAGGTTCCTTTGCCTAATTTCTCTGTTGAAATCCCTGATAAGCAGCTCCCAAAAGAATATAGGAGGGTAGCATTTCCACTCGATCTAGATTCTTCTTATCCTCTCTGGCCTTGAATGTAGGCCCTTGGTGAGTTTAGTGGCCTTTTTTCCCCTTTTCTCTTTTTAAGCAGGACAATTCCCTGGGGTTTCCATCAGTGGCCAGTTTAGAGTGCATTACATTTTCATTTTATTAACCGGGTATTCAGGAGCTTGAGGCGCCGAGTGGTACTTTGAAATGAATTAAGATTCTCCTAGGACAAGAAAACAACCAGCAGAAGTAATAGAAGGCCGTGCTTTTCTTACAATGTGTATAATGTGTTTTTATAAGCATGACATGTATAATATCTAAAATGTAGTACATTTCTATGGTGTTTGTGTCCAAAGTATTTTTAAATATATTTCCTTTGCTGCCATGTTTCCAGGGTTCGTTCTGTTCTTTTCTCCTTCCTTCCTTCCTTCCTTCCTTCCTTCCTTCCTTCCTTCCTTCCATAAAAGCTCTATTGAGATATAATTCACATACCATAACATTTATTTTTATTTTTTTTAATTTTTTTTCTTTATTGATTTTAGAGCGAGGAAGGGAGAGAGAGATAGAAACATCAATGAGAGAGAACATCGATTGGCCGCCTTGTGCATGCCTCCCACTGGGGATTGGGCCCACAACCTGGGCATGTGTCTTGACCGGGAATTGAACCAGCCACCTCTTGGTGCATGGGTTGACGCTCAACCACTGAGCCACATTGGTCGGACAACATTTACTTTTTAAAAGTATACAATTCAGTCCTGGCCAGTGTGGCTCAGTAGTTAGAGCATCGGCCCACGCACCTAAGGGTTTCAATTCCTGGTCAAGGGCATGTACCTGGGTTGCAGGTTCAGTCTCCCACCCCCTGGTCGGGGTCGTGCAGAAGGCAGCCAGTTGATGTGTCTCTCTTATATTGATGTTTCTCTCTCTCTCTCTCTCTCTCTCTCTCTCTCTCTCTCATTCTCTGCCTTCCATTCTTCCCCCCTCTCTTTTCCTTCCACTCTCCAAAAAATCAATGGAAAAATTATTCTCAGGTGAGGATAATAAAAGTGTACAATTCAGCTCTGGCGGGTTTGGTTCAGTGGTTAGAGCATCAGCCTACGGACCACTAAGGGCACATACCTCGGTTGCAGTTTGTCCCCGGCCCCGGTTGGGGTTGTGTGGGTGGCAACCACTCGGTGTGTCTCTCACATCGATGTTTCTCTCTCTCTCTTCCTCTCTCTCTCTTCTTCCCGCACTATCTGAAGATAAATGCAAAAATGTCCTCAGGTGAGGATAAAAAAAATAAAAAAAAATAGAAGTGTACAATTCGGTGGTTTTTAGTGTATTTACAGAGTTGTGCTATCATCACTGCTGTCTAATTACAGGATATTTCACCTCCCCCCAGAAGAAACCCTGTGCCCATTAGCAGCCACTCCTTCATTCCCCCAACCCTCTACTCCATGCCCTGGCAACCGCTATTCACCATCTCTATGGATTTGCCTGTTCTGGACATTACATATAAATGGAATCATTAGCATCATGTTTCCAAGGTTCACCCACATGGCAGCATGTATTAGTACTTTATTTATTTTTACAGCTTGAGAATATTGTGTGGATATAACCCATTTTGTTTATCCATTCATTGCTTGGTGGACCTGTGGGTTGTTTGTACTTTTTGGCTGTCATAAACATTCCTGTACATGCTTTTGTGTGACCAAGGTTCTTTTCATCTCTAAACGAGGATACTATGAGCATGCATATCCCATGAGCTTCTGTATCCTCATTATGGTGGAGAAAGGGATAGGTACTGCTCTGATTTTATAGTTGGGAAAACTTTAGGGACAGAAGGAGACGTGACTTGATTAAGGATCTTCCAAGTCGAGACTGATTAGAGTTCCTGCGCCTCAATTTCAGATTTCAGGCAGCAGTGAAGATCATAGGCTTTGGAACCAGACAGCCCTGAGATCAAACACAGACTCTGCTATGTACTAGCTGGATGAACATGGAAAAGTTTTTTTCACCCTTAGTTTCCTCCTCCATGTAATGGAACAATTATATTACTAGTCCCTGATAGTGTCGTGTGGACTGAGATAATGTATACACAGCTCTAATCACAGAATCTAGCATATTGTAAGTGCTCAGTAAATGGTAGCTATATCATAAAGACCATGTCCTCATCATGTAGATGGGATTTCTGCATTTGTGAAACAGTGATTCTCTAACTTGTGAGTGGAAGAATCTGGTGTCCCCAGCACACACCAGTGTGTAAAAATGTTTTATTTAGTAGTTCAGTCTCTATGCAAAAATATTTGTGGAAAATGGGTTCTCGTAAGAGTTGAGCTGGGTTTATTCTACGGCACCTCGTATCCCCTGGACGCTGCTTGGATATATCCTGGAGATACGTTTATCCCCAGTTTATGTGCTTATTTGGACAACATGCCCTCTAAATTGTCTTCGAGCTTCTAAGATCACGAGTCTTGTGTTGTGAAACCCAGGCTGACATATTTGGAGAATGTGTAATTCACTTCCTAAGTTAGAAAGTAACACCACGACGGCATTGCAGGGGGTTTTAATAGGACATGTTAGATATTTACTCTCCTAACTATATCAGAAGTGGAAAGAGTACACTGGGCCCTGCTTTCACACAGAGGAGAGAAACATGGCCATCCATGCCTGTTGTCTGTCTAAGGGGAGTAGCCCCATGAAAAGCTTCATATAGAGGTTTGATGAGAATCTTCCTGATACATAGTACAGTACTTTTCACTGGTATAACAGCAAAAATCTCCAGAGCCCCCAGATGAGTTTCTCCCCAACAACAGCTGCAAAATATCAGAGCTCTGATCCGTATTAAAGAATCTTGAAG